CTCCCCTGGGGCCCCCGGTTCTGCCTCCCGACCCACTCGGGCTCTGGCTCCGGCGGGGCAGGGAGGCGCCGGATCCCACCGAGGCCCGGGCGGGAGCGCGGGAGCCCCGGAGAGCTGGGGGGGTGGGGGGAGCGGCCACCAGGACAATGTGAAATGCCAGTGCCAGGCTGCGGGGGAGGGCGGCGGCCGGGCTGCGCTGTAGGGCGTTGACGGTCGCCTTCGTCACTGCTGGCTCTGGCAGATTAGCTTCTCAGAACCTTAATTCCTCGTGTGTGACAGAGGGGAAGATAATTGTCCCTACGTAACTGTCCTCCAGTTAGGAGGCTTAAGTGATGTGTTCCACGTAAGAGGGTGCCTGGGGGCGGCACTCAAGCTCTTCTCTCCCAAACAAACCTACTGTGAATTCGGGTCAGTCAGCTGCCACTGTCAAAGCCGCGGCAGCTGGCACAGGGCAGGCGCGGGTGGACACTGTGTGTGTGTGAGGAGAGGATTAGGTGCTGGGGGCCTCTAGCAGAAGCAGGGCAGGAGACCCCAAGGCCCTCCCTCAGCGGGGTTAGCCCAACCCTGGGACAGAGTGGCCTCCAGGTCTTCTTCAGCCTCACCCAGGCAGCAACTCAAGGGCTGTGGAGGTTGGGGAGCTCAGCGCCTTCGGATGGGCCTCAGGGCATTGTCCAACCCCTGCATCCCCGTGGGTTTTGCAGGTGCAGCTTCCCTGGAGGGGCTGTCTGCTCTGTGGTCGCAAAGACCTCGGGGCCTGTTTTTACTGAGCCCTGAAGCCATGAGGACTGTGGTGGGGAAGTAGAGGCCACAGCCCACAGCTCTTGAGCTAATGGCCTAACAGCGACTCTCTGCTTTGTCCTAGCTGGGGGACAAAGTTCAAGGAGCTAGAATCCTTTTCTTCCCTCCCAGGGGAAAAAGAAAGGAAGAGCAGTTCAGGCAGAGGGAACAGTTTGTAATTAGGGCCCTTGAGGGCAAAAATGCATGGCCTGAGGAGCAGCTGTGCGTGCCTCCTGTCTTGTCAGCTTGCAGGTCTGCACCTAGATGCTCCTTCCCAGGGCACCTCCCCCTCCCCCAGCCTGGGCGCGGGTACTTAGGGGCACCCCCTAGCAATTGCCTTTTCATTCCCAGGACCAGATACTAGTGCCCACAATTGTGTGTTCAGGGCCTGGAATACAGTAGGTGGCAGATATCTGTTGACATTCACCAAATAGGTCAAGTCTATCCTGGGTTCCTCTACAGCTGAACATTCCTTTATCAGAGCTTCCTTTAAAAGTCCAACCTACTGCTGTCCAATAGAACTTTCTATGCTGATAGAAACATTCTATATCTACATTGTCCAGTACAGTAGCCACCAGCCACAAGAGGTTATTGAGTGCTTGAAATGTGACTAGTGTAACTGAGGAGCTGAATTGTTAATTAATAATTTTATTTTTAAGGGTTGGCCCATTAGCTCAGTTGGTTAGAGCACAACCTTGTAACACCAAGATTAGGGTTTCGGATCCCCATACCAGCTGGCTGCCCCCCAAAATTTTTTTTACATTTTTAATGAATATAAATTTAATTAGCCACATATGCCTAGTGGCCTTCATACTGTTCCAAGTCGCCTGCCTTCCCAAGCGTGAAGAGCAGCAGTGAGAGAGAGCTGGAGAAGCTGGCAGAGTCTAGATCTGGAGAAGCCTGGAGACTTCCGTAAGGAGTGTGGGCACTGGGGAGCCACTGAGGTTCTAAGCAGGGGTAGGATGCAAGAGCGATGGCTTTTAAGGACCACCCTTCTAGTTACGCAGCTCTGCGTGGGTTGGAGGGGGCAGCACTGAGGCAGGGAGAACAGTTGAGGCTGCAGGTATTCCCAGGATTCAGGCGAGAGACGATGCCCCTTGATTTTTCACTATGCCGGTATCCCTCCAAGCACCCCATCCCCATTTCCTCCCCCACAGCAGGCCAGATTCTAGAAAATTCTAGGCAGGGTCACCAGCTGGGGATCAAATCTTTGAGAAATGCCATTTGGCGAAGAAGCGCATGTATTGCAGACAGTGATCTGCTGTCTCTGTGGCCGTGGCTGGAGAGGGGAGTGAGGAAACGAGCAGAGCAGCCGGGAAGGGCAGGGAAGCCGCGGCTACAGTCCTAGGAAGAACTGGGCCTGCTGGGGCTCAGAGTGTGGTCTAAGCAACCGTTTGGTGGGTTTCAGCTTTAGTTTCTGAAGAGGCAGCCTGACCTTGGGCAGAAGGACCTGAGCGGGATTCCGGCTGCATGACTCACTTCCTGTGTAACCTTAACCTTGGTCTCTTCACCATTTTTTTTTTTTGGCAGCTGGCCAGTATGGGGATCTGAACCCTTGACCTTATTGTTATCAGCACCATGCTCTTCCAAGTGATTCTTCACTTTTAAAACAGGGCTAATAATACCTATGTCTTAGGGTTGTTGTGACAGTGAGAAATGACGTACGTATATGACATATACTTAGCCTAACCCAGAGCGTGATATCTAGTGGGAGCAAAATGCTTGGAACCTAATGACAATCATAACTGAATAGGCAAAGCTTGTTCTGGTCACCTGTGTTCTCCATTTTCAGGGACTGTCCCCTGACTTAGGCTTCTTCAACACACACACACACACACACACACACACACACACACACACACGAAATCTTTAGGCATTGTAGGTACTGTAATAATTATTGTTTTGTCTGCCCACCTGGCTTTCCCGTCCCCCTTCTCCTGATAACACAGTCCACTTGCCCCACTATAGGACAAGGCATGTGACCTCGGTCTGCCTAGGACCAAACAGGGCCCATCAAAACCTTCTTGAGATGGCTATATTGATGTAGTTAGAGAGAAGCCCTCTTTCCAAACTTCAGTTTGAGGGGCAAATGGCCACTTTTTCTGTCACATGGATAGAGCCTGTCTGCAGAAGCCAAGCAAATACAAAGAGAAAGAGTCTTGGAGAAGTTGGGTTCTGTCCCAAGATCCAGGTTTTTGCCTTAGTGCCCCTCCCAGCCGTGTTAGCTAGAAATGTCCTTTTTGGGTGAAGCTAGGGGGAGTGTGGCTTCTCATCTTTGTAGAGAAGACTCCTGCTTGGTATGGACACTTGTGTTCTTGAAGTTCAGGGAGGTCAGGGGATTTGTCTGAAGTACAAAGTAGTTAGTGGCACAACCAGAATTCAGACTTGTCTGGCTGGCTCTGGATCTACCATAAACTATGCCACACATTCCAGTTGTTCATTCACAAATATTTACTGAGTGCTTTCTCTGTGCCAGGCACCAAACTACCATCTCGTTCCTCTTCCACACCTGCTGAAAGACTTCCCCTCCACCCACCACACCTTCACTCCCAGTATCTAAGAGCCCTTGAATCAAGCGACATGAAAAACAGCCCTTCTCCACCATGATAGAGCTGGCACACCCTCTGTCTTTCCAGGGTCAATACTCTCAGAATCCTCAAGTTCCAGGGATGCAAGAGGGATAAGTCGCTTCCTGCCCAACCACCCACCCACCTACCCACCTACCTATCCACCTACTTACCCACCCACCNCTCAACTACATACCTACCCACCCACCTACCTACCCACCTACCTACCTAACCAACTACATACCTACCCACCTACCTATCCACCTACCTACCTACCCAACTACATACCTACCCACCTACCTATCCACCTACTTACCCACCCACCTACCTACCCATCTACCTATCCACCTACTTACCCACCCACCTACCTACCCATCTACCTATCTACTTACTTACCCACCCACCTACCTACCCATCTACTTATCCACCTACTTACCCACCCACCTACCTACCCATCTACCTATCCACCTACTTACCCACCCACCTACCTATCCACCTACCTACCTATCCACCTACTTACCCACCCACCTACCTATCCACCTACCTACCTATCCACCTACTTACCCACCCACCTACCTATCCACCTACCTACCTATCCACCTACTTACCCACCCACCTACCTATCCACCTACCTACCTATCCACCTACTTACCCACCCACCTACCTATCCACCTACCTACCTATCCACCTACTTACCCACCCACCTACCTACCTACCCAACTACATACCTTCCCACCTACCTACTTACCCACCTACCTACCTACCCAACTACATACCTACCCACCTACCTACTTACACCTACCCACCTACCTACCTACACACCTACCTACCTACCTGCTTACTGCAGTTTTGCTCAGCACGGAGTAAATCCTAGCCCTGGCCCAAGAACCCCTGGCCGAGTTCCTGCCTGCACACCACTCTGAGCGACCGTGATCCTACTGACCTTATGGCTGCACTGAGCATTCATGGGGATACTGAAGTCATTTGGGGGTTTTTTTTCCTGCTGCTTTTGTTTTTTTGTTTTTGTTTTTGTTTTTGTTTTTCAAAGATGACTGGTAAGGGGATCCTAACCCTCGGCTTGGTGGTATCAGCACCACGCTCACCCAGTGAGCTACCCGGCCATCCCTATATGGGATCTGAACCTGTGGCCTTGGTGTTATCAGCACCGCACTCTCCCGAGTGAGCCACGGGCCGGGCCCCTCTGCTGCTTTTGTTTTATTTTTTTCCTTTTTTTTGATGGCTTGCCAGTACAGGGATCGAACCCTGGACCTCGATTTTATTGGCACCACACTCTAACCAACTGAGCTAAGTGGACAACCCCTGGGGTCATTTTAAAGGTGCTTTTGATCTAAATTTTCTTGGATGTTCCCTTTCCTTACTTTGCAAATCAGGTTGAAGAGAGAGAGTGGTGGTGGGAGCAGAAGGATGTCAGGACACTGGTTTCCATACCTGGTCCTCAGAACACCGATGGAGCATGGTGATGACATCACCGTGTCATCATCAGTGACAAAAAAAAAAAAAACACACAACCCATGGTGTGAGCTTTTCCTGAAGCAAAATTATTCCATTTAAAGGGGCATCCTTTAAACTGAAATCAAATTTCTCTTTTTTTGGTGTTCACATATACTTTCTTTCAGGTCACTTGATTTTGCGGGGCCTCAGTTTCCTCATCTTTAAAATGGGGTGAGAGGGGCAGCGTGACCTTGGCCTAGATGACCCCTAAGGGCCTTTCCAACTCTCTCACAGCCCAGCCGCCTTCCCCACCTCACTCCTATCCTCCCCGCCCCTCCTTCCCCTCACCCCCCAGCCCCTCCCTGCTCAGCCCCACAAGGTTTGTCCTCCTCTGTGCCTCTGGGGAGACGTGCCCCTCTGCAAAGCACTCTCGATTGAAGATAACCCAGGAGACACAGCTTTTAAAAGGCAAACGTGGGTTTCAGATTGCTGAAATGTTTGTCCTGAGATAATCAGTGGGCTGGCCCAGCCCCCACAGGGGACTGGAAGTCAGAAGGACAGAAGGTGAGAGATAAGGAGCAACAGGAGGCAGGTGCTGAGGTGGGGGCTGGGTGGGAGAGAGCACAGAAAGCAATGGAAGTTCTGGCCAAAGAATAGCATCATGGACTCCCGGAGCGCCTGAGCTGGGGAGCCCCTGAGCTGGGGAGTGCCTGAGCTGGGAGCCCCTGAGCTGGGGAGCGCCTGAGCTGGGAGCCCCTGAGCTGGGGAGCCCCTGAGCTGGGGAGCCCCTGCACCACCTTGTACTGTCTCCTCATGTCATAGGTGAGGAAATTGAAGCCCAAGCCGGGGCCAGGGCGTGGGGGGAGTCTGAATGGATGGGTCGGGGGAAGTACGTTTTTCCTCTACCTTAGCAGGGGGCAAGGCCTGGTGATGGAAAGGAATTGAGGGAGAGAGATGTGGAAACTGAGGCCAGAGCACTGAGTGAGAACTGACCCAAGACCAAGTAAGAACAGAGGGCGCCCCATGAACCCTGCGTTCCTGCACCCCAGCTCACTCTTGCTCGAGACCCTCCTCGGGTCTCCGTTCCTTTGCCCCGTAGCCCTCAGCTCTGCTCTCAGGACATCCCAGACAGCAGCCCTGAAGCCGGCAAGAGAGCACTGGGCGGAGAGTGAGGCAGGCTGAGGGGTGCCCTCCAGGGGTCGTGCCACCTTGAGGGTGCCCACGAGACTCAACAACCCCCGGTGAGAAGCTCCAGGAAGAGGGACAGAGAAGGGGAATTGTCGTTGCATTTACACGTGGAACAGACTCTTCTGCATGCACATACACTTTTGCACCCCAAGAGGATCCAGGCATAGAGGGTGTGCAAGGTAGGGCATCTATAAATCCTAAACACTGGAGCTGGGTCCCAGGGAGAACAACAGAACTGAGTGTCCCTCCTGTCACATTCAGCCCAGAGATGCAACAGTAATAACTGTTGTTAATAACAGTAATAACTGGCCACATGGAGGTCTCCCTGATACACTTCCTGCTCACATCTGAAGCACCTATGGCTGTTGGTGGAGGCCCATTTTTAAAGCGGTGATGTCATGGGCCAGAGAGAAACCAGCCCCAAACTTCCCAGATCTACCTCGGAGATGCCTACCAACATTAGCACGGCTTCCAGCAGAGAGACCTCGGGCAGGCTGGGTGATCTCCCAGGGCCCTTGGCTGTGCCTGCCCTTGATAACACAGACCATCTGCTGCCTAGGGAGCTGGGAGCTGGGGCAGCGGGGTGACTTGGAAATGGAGGGGCCAAGGAGCCCCAGACTTGCCTGCTTGTCCTTGCCACTCTCTCCCTGAGAACAAGAGGCTCTCCTGGGAGCCTCCTGCCCAATTCCCAGGGCCTGGAAGCCAGCCCTGCAGCTGACGCAAGGCCAGGGGTGGCTGAGCTCAGCCTGTCCCCAGCACCCCGCCCACCCTTGCAAACATAGCCGTTCACCTCCTCTGCCTCGGTCCTCCTAGATCTCCAGCTACATTCCTTCTGGAAGCAGAGCAGGGCCACCTAAGGATGTGGAGGCAGGCCCTGCTTGGGGACTGGGGTGGCAATGAGTGTTTCTGAGTTATCCCCACTCTCCTGCATGGGCGGCATGAGAGAAGTGCTGGGACTTGAGCCCCACCCCCAGGGGACCTATCTAGTGGAAATGGAGGGCCTAGGCACCCCTGAGGCTCTGACACTTGGGTTCTGTCCATGCCAGCCCTCTTCCTCTTCTGGGAGAGGTCAGGTGGCCACTGGCAAGTCTCCAGACCCTCTTATCTGATTAGGAGGGTGGACTCTGCTCCATTTGCACTCCCCTGTCATTGTTGGTGCCCGGGTCCAAGGTAGAAACACCTGGGCCCGACCATCCATGGAGGACCCTCTACATGTCATCATCTCAGGACCAGGATTCATTCAGCATCTGTTTACTAGGAGCTCAATAATAATAATGTGACATCTAATAACAACATGACACATAGCACATGTGTGCTGCATCTTACAAATTGCCCTACTAATTAATTAGTGCTTCAAAGGATCCTAGTGACAACACTGTGATGCTGCAAGGCCTAGATGGAGAAGCTGAGGCCCAGGAAGTTGAAGTGGCAGAACCAGGAGTCACACCCACAGGGGCTTCCCAAATCCTCATGTGACCTTGGTCCTGTCCCCCAAGCATGCACTGAGCAGGAAGCAGCCAGCAATGGGCGTGCCTGTCACTGGAGAGCCAGCTGAGACAGAGGAGCAGAGAGGAGCATTTCTCCTAGGCTGTGGGAGTGGATGGAGGAGGCTGACAGCCCAGGGCCTGTGGATTTGGGATAGAGACATGTTGAGGGCCACACCTGTTTGGGAGGAACTGGAGACATAGCCGGGAGCACTGGGATCTGTGGGAAGGATACCAGGAGTACCGGAGTCGCTCACTCAGACCAAGGCCCGTTGGTCATGCTGAGCTTGGGCTGGCACCAACGGGATTGGGGCTGCTGCCTGGGAGCCAATGCCGGCTTCAGGATCGGCCCCTCCAGTTCTGGCCCAGGACCAGTGGCAGTGGCCATTGCTGACTTCCCTGCTGACATCAGGGTTGCATGAGGACTTCCTGGTCTGCCCTGTTCTACCCGTGGCCTGCCCTTTCTCCCCAGCCATGCCCAACCCTCTCTGAGTGGCCACACACCCACCTCCCCGACCCCTCGCCCACCCTTCCAGCAGCTCTTGCAGCTGATGGAACTGCTGAGGCTGGTGAGGGCAGGCTGCGCAGGCTGGTGGGCAGGTGAGGACAAAGAGCCCTTTGCTACAGGGCTCATCTGGTGCTGACTGCACCCACCCTCCTGTATTCAGGCTCTCAGGCCTGCCAGGGAGTCCCATGGTGGAGCTGGAGGCTCATTGAAAAGACAGTCATTGAGACGTCCCAGTTCCAGGGTCCACGCCAAGACCTCCTTTTACTCTCCTATGCTGTCACCTATGCCTTGTGGTCAGAGAAGAGGGATCTAAAAGAGAAAGCTCAGCTCCTGGCTCTGCCCCAATCTTGAACCAACCCTTTGAACCACTTGGGTCACTTTTTGGGGTACCTCCTTTTACTCTCCTATGCTGTCACCTATGCCTTGTGGTCAGAGAAGAGGGATCTAAAAAGAAAGCTCAGCTCCTGGCTCTGCCCCAATCTTGAACCAACCCTTTGAACCACTTGGGTCACTTTTTGGGGGGTGGGGGAGGGCTGGCTGGTGTGGGGATCTGAACCCTTGACCTTGATGTTATCAGCACCACACTCTACCAACTGAGCTAACTGTCCGGCCCCTTGAGTCACTTTTAAGTTTGCATTCTATGGATGTGTTATTAGATGTTACGGCGACATGTCTTAAATTAAAAAGGTACAGAAGAGAATAATACAGAGAAAAACGAGTCTCTGTCCCCCACCAGTCCCTCAGCTGCCTTGTGTTCCTCCCCAGAGGCAAGCAGTGTTACCAGTCTCTTGTGTATCTTTCCAGAGATAAGCTAGATTAACCACAGGATTTTTGATTATCTGGGCTCCCATAGGAAGGTCACATTTTGCTTAACTCTCATGCTTGGAATGAGGAAGGACAAACTCCACTGCTTTGGACATTCCTTGAGAATGGACAGGAAATGACCAGAAATAAACTCTTCCCACCCCAGGCCCACGTTCCAGTTCTCTCTCCCCTTCATGTCCCTCTGTCCACCTGTGACTCCACTGGATGGCCAAGGCGGAAGTGAAGGACAGATGGCACTGGCCTTGTTTCTTAGACAGGGAAGCTGAGGAGCCAGAATGTTAAGGAGACCCAAGGTCACAGGGTTAGCTGGGGCACCCTCAGTTTTTCCATACCATCTCCCCACCTCCCTAATACTTTCTCTTAGGGCTGGCTGGTTAACTCAGTTGGTTAGAGCACAGCCTTATAATCCCAAGGTCACAGGTTCAAATCCCTGTACCTGTCAGCTACCCCCCCAAAAAAGACCTAATATTTTCTTTTTGCTTTGTAAATGACCTCCAGTTCTTAAATATCTCACCACAATGTGTCTATGGATAACTCGATGACAGGGTCAAGGACTCTTCTTCTGTCGTCACCCTCTGCAAACTGGACTCTGACCTGGGTCCCTGAGTGGCCCCTCAGCAGTGGTCAATGATGCTGGCCAAATCCAAGTGGGAGAGGGAGAGGGTCTGTCGTTTTGCTAGGGGCCCCCCAAGACCCTGGGCTCCTACCTGGACATGTGCACATCCCTGCCCACCAAATTCACTCCCCCACAGCCGCATGCCCCATTAATTCTCTTCTGGGCAGCTAGCTCCATTAATGTCCCTGCTTAGAAGGCCAAGGCTGTGGGTTGGCTCCCCAGGGGTGGGATCGCCCTGTGGTGAAACATTCTGTTCTTTGCCTGTGAACTGAACAGAGTTTTGCAAATCACAACTGGATGACAAAAAAAGACTGTCCCCCCGTGAAATGCCGAGTGCACAGTTCTCTAGCTGTGATCCTCTCCTCCTCTCTCTATTCCTCCACCCCCACCTCCCATGTCTGTGATCCCTGGGATTTTTCCGGGGTTAGTCCTCATCTGTCCTCCCACTCTGTCTTTGCCGTGAAAGCTAACTTCAATAAAGCAGGTCTCTAAGTCACAGAGTGCCCAGAAGGATTAGGCTCTCTGGAGACAGGATCGTAGGAGGGACATTGGCTTCAGAGGGCTTGAGCTGTGACTGATTAGTGATGCAGTAAGAACAAGGGGGAGACTTTTTATTTCTTTCAGAGAGCAGAAAGTAGCTGCCATGGCTATGTTATGAATTCAGGCTCAGTACTAGAGTGGGGTGAGGAACCCTGGGGACGAGGGGCTGACAGAGAGGCCGTGAGCCAGAGCAGCTGCTGACTTGAGAGGGTCAGAAGGCCATGCTGCTGCTAGAGGGAGAAGAGCAGGTGGAATCAGACAGGGGGATTCCTGACCATGGCGAAGAGTGAGGGAATGGAGCAGGTGTGGCAGGTCAAGGTCACAGAGAAGGAATCCAGAGGCTCCCCTTGGGTGTTCTGCAGCACCCAAAAATCAGTGTACTCACAAAAGAACTCATCTGCTCTGACAACTGCTCCCCTTCCTGCTTCCTCATTCTGTCCAGGGTGTCACCATCCTGATGGGCCAGGATCTCACATGTCACTCACCAGGCCCCCCAGGGACCAAAGCTCCATTGTGAGATCTCGGATCCCACCTGCCTGCCTAGAATGCCATCCATGCTCTCCTGCCAAGCTCTGCTCCCCGCCACCCCCCTCTGCCTTGTTCCCACCTGATTTCCAGCACAGGTGGCCGTGTGAGGTCAGGGTAAGCCTACTTGGGGAAAGGGGAGTGACTGCTGCGTTAAATTGGATGGAATTTGTTGCTCAAACACTGACCATTAAAAATGGCAGCCTTGGGGGCTGGCCCGTGGCTCACTCGGGAGAGTGCGGTGCTGATAACACCAAGGCCCCGG